AACTTTAATGGTTCACCATATGCAAGCATAGGGGAGCCACTAAATGGCTGTGGGTGAACATCCTTCACAAGATAAGGAAACCAGGATCTCAAATAGAATGTGCCTAGAATGTGTTAAATATTACGGCCTCCTCACCGTTCAACAGGCTGGGGAGGAGAACAAAAGAATATCTTAACATGCTGTTTAAGATAGGTTTACAAACTGAAGCACAACAATGACAACATTTAACAAAATCACTCCAACAGCCCTGACAAGCTCACACACCCCAAAACCCTTCAGGCAGTCTTGTGCAGGCTAGGGGACTATTGTCTACATCTCAAAGGGGAGAGGTGCCAGTTTTTCCAGGAATCAGTGGAATACCTGGATCACATAATTGACACGATGGGGTCACACAAGTCACCAGAAAAGGTGACATTATGGAAGCTCCAGCGCCAGGTTATGTAAGCCAGCTACGTTCTTTTCTGGAAATGCTACACTATTATTGATGTTTCATACCTGATTTAGCTACAGTATTGAAACTGCTGAATGAGCTCCTCAGTAATGAGAAGAAATGGCTGTGGGCAAATCGCCTGTGAGTCAGTGCTGAGTGCTTTTGTTAGCGCATAATTACACCTTGCAGTACCGCAAAGGTATGTGTCATGTCACTGCTGATGGACTGTCACAGCTACCTGTGCCTCTTGCGCAGAAGGAGAAACAAGGAGCAGTAGAGGTATTCTACGCATCTCAACTAAACACGTTACCGGTCAGTGTCACCAAGATCAGATGTCACACTATGTCTGATGTTACTTTTTCTCATGTCCCGGGAATGGTAACAATTGGATGTTTCCCAGCTGTGAAAGACGTAGATCATGTGCTGTCACCCTATCTGCTGTGCAGACAGCATCTCACGATACAGCAGGGATCCTTCATATGGGGCGTGAGAGTGGTTCTGCCACCTAAGCTGCACCCTTTTATCCTGAAAGGGCTCCACGGTCATACAAAAGGTGTACATATATAAAAGGAGTCATATAAAAGGAGCCATATAAAATGAGTTTTTTATGTAGGAGCAGCACAAGGAGTATGAATATGCCATGTGGATCAGATGCTGACACGCCCTGAGCCAATTTCTCAGCAGTTTGCAGTGGAGCCTCCAACAAGCTCTCAAACTTCACTAACCCAGAGTGAGTTACACCATGCTTCACCCTTGTATATCTAATCAGGAAAAGACTGCTGAACAAGTTCTGAGGACCACAATACCTCTAGAAACACACCAGTCCATTGAACCACCATCATCTAAGTGTACACAGGTTACAGAAACTCTAAGACATTACCCGGTGAGGGTCACTAAGCCACCTGTTCGTTACCATGATGGATGAGCGTACTGAGAATGCATAGCTTCTCAGAGCATAGCTTAGTGGGGAGCAGATGTTATGTATGAGTCGAAACATATTGTGTGGTATACAAGCTAACACCAGTAGAGGGCACCACCCCATGTTGTTTGTGTGTGTGTAACTCTTGGAAATAAAGGAGGAAAATATAACAGTTTGAAAGTGCAGGCAAATAGAAAGAGGCGAGTAGCCTGGGCAGGGTAGAAGTGGATACAGCTGTGGGTAATGAGAAAAGATGAAAAGAATGATTAACAACTTTTTCATTAAGTCCTAATCCATCTGAAATTCATAGCCAGTGCTCTGACACGGAGCCATCACCTTTTCAGGTTATGTCTAACACTGGTCCGGAAGAAGCATCAAATAATGAGCCAGATGCGACCGACTCCGAGCCAGAGCCCACTGAAAGAAAAGTGAGTAAGTGTATACGAGACAAGGGGAAGCAAAGCCAGACCAACTAAACACAGGACAGAGACTATCAAAGTAAAACAGGAAAAACAACAACAGGTATGCGGAGACACGAGCTTGACACAAGACCTCAGACATTGCAAGAGGGAGGGAACACACGGGCAGACAGAGGAAGCACAGAACCAAAACCCAAAGAATTTAAAAAGTCTAAACCCAAATACATCATCAGAATAAACCAGAACATAAAATCATAATAATGATGAACACAAAATGCTGGGTCAAATGTCCCAGGACACTTGCTGTGCCTTCTTTCTGCCTCACCACCATGGGAAGCAGAGCTTTCAGTTGCTTTGCCTCAGCTGTGTGTAAACCAGCTGTGGAACTCTGTGGAACTCTCTACTCCCAGATATAACAAACATTCCCCCCATTCCCCCCACATTCTCCCCCAGTTTACATCTCAACTCCTAACCCATCTGTTCAAATCTACATATTAACTGTGAAATTTGTTTATTTTATTGTGTAATTAATTTGATTTTTGTTGTTCTTCATTGTCATTGTTGTATTACGCGTTTTATTCCATTATTAATAGTCCATGGGTGTCTTGATAGGTGCTTTTAAATAAAATGTATTATTATTATTATTATTATTATTATTATTATTATTATTCCTCCTTATAGATTTTTAAAGGGCACAAAGAAAAATAACATAAACATAAACAGCATAAAGTGCCCATTGGAAGATGTATTGGGGATCTTGGCTCAAGAGTTGGGAGTTCGCCTTGTAATTGGAAGGTTGCTGGTTCGAGCCCCGGCTTGGACAGTCTCGGTCGTTGTGTCCTTGGACAAGACACTTCAACCGTTGCCTACTGGTGGTGGTCAGAGGGCCCGGTGGCACCAGTGTCCGGCAGCCTCGCCTCTGTCAGTGGGTGGATGACTGGATGTGTAAAGCGCTTTGGGGTCCTTAGTCAAATGACCCAGGACACTGACAATCCTTTTTGCAGAGCTCTGCTCCAAATAAAGAACTTTGTCCTGACAAGATTGTTAGTAAATCATTAACAAACCAATATTGTCTGTTTGGACAGCAATTTTCAAAAACAAGTGAACATGTAAAATTGCGGTTTTAAGCGATGCAGTTGAAAAAATTGGGTGCACCTCACTTTTGGGCTGGTGTACCTAAGAAAAAAAGGTTAGGTGCACCAGTGCAACCATAGCAAAAACTTAGTCTTGAGCTGTGATCTAGCTACAGTCCCCTGTATGTTTATTTATTAATCAGATATAGCTAGCTCTGGATTCAGCCGTTCTAATGTTAAAAGAGACAACTTCTAGTTTTAAAAGGGCAATGTTTTAATGGGATTTGTGTTTACATCTCTTTCTATTTCCTATAGAGGAGAAGCTTTCCAAGGTGCGGTCAGCCTTTGTTTGGAGGGTATCAACAGAACTCCTTAAACAGCTCCTTGAGGCCCTTGTAAGTGATGGTGTTTTAAATGAATTGGAGAAAGAATCGATACTGGAGAAGAACCCTGTCAGAGCAGATAAGGCACGCTGCTTCATTGACACAGTGAAGAAGAAAGGGGACAAAGCCTGCAGGATAATGATCAGACATCTTCAGACTGTAGATCTCTCTCTTTTCTATCAGCTACGTTTATACTCTGATCCATCTGTTCAGCAAGGTGAGTTCACTTTTTGTGTAAAAATGTTTTCTTTGCATGATTTGTTGAGATGTGAGAGTGTATAACCTCAGAATTCAATTTAAGAAAAAGCAGACAACAGGAGCTCAATTCTACAGCATACATAATAGACTATTGTCTATACCTAGTAACTTCAGGTGTACCCCGTATGTCAGTCTTAGGCCCTCTTCTCTTCCTAATTTACATCCTCCTTCTTGGTATAATTTTCCATAAATTTGATCTTAATTTTCTCTGTTTTGCTGATGACACCCAGTTATATCTCTCCTGCAGGCCTGATTCCTCTCTCCCACCTTCTTCCCTTAAAGAATGTTTATCCAAATTAAATTTCTGGTTCAGCTCTAATTTCCTTAAGCTTAATGAAGATCAAACTAAAATACTCCTTATTGGCACTTAATTTAACCTATTGAAGGCAAATCATTTCTCACTCACTATTGATAACTCCAGTTTTCCCCTCACCTCAGGTTAAGAGCCTTGGTGTCATCCTAGACAGTTCACTATCCTTTAAATCTCACATCAATAATCTCACATTCTGCCTATTTCCATCTACGCCACTTTAAAAGAATACCTCCTACTCTTTTCACCCAGTCTACGTCCATTCTTGTTCATAGTCTTGTTACCTCCTATAAAAATCCCTTCATAACCTTCAACTGGTTCAAAACTCCACTGCCCGCATTATTACCAGAACCCCCTCTTACTAGCACATCACGCCCGTTCTTCAGGAACTTCATTGGCTGCCTGAGAAATTCTGGATTGTGTACAAGCTTCTTCTGCTCACCTAAAAGGCCCTTCATAACCTTGCTCCTCCTTACCTTTCTGACCTGTTAAGCACTACCTCTTCTGCCCACTCACTTCAATCCTCTTCCTCCATCCAGCTTGCTGTGCCTTCTTTCTGCCTCACCACCATGGGAAGCAGAGCTTTCAGTTGCTTTGCTGTTTATTTTTTCTTGATCACAAGGTTTAAAACTACTTTAAAAAAGAACAGAAACACACAAAACTAAATCTGCCAGAGTGCCTGTTTTGGGTCAGTTTGGTGGTCACAAGTCCGGATAAAGGAGGAGGGTTGAAATTGTGACATTAAAAAAGCAATACTTGCTAAAATAAATGTGATTTTTAGTTCTAAGTACATTCCAAAGGCATTTAGGGTGTTTTTTAATCAGTTTTCCTCTTTCACAATGTGATTTCTCTCTCTAACAGTGTCTGTTACAATGATACAGGCATGACCAATGATGCAAATTAGGAAATGATTTCATTTAGCGACTTCTAGCGACTTTTAGGACAGCCAATAGCAATTTTCCTTACTGAGTTGGCAACACTGGACTTTAACAGCAGGGTGGTACAGTTAAAATTTGTAAGATTTCTTCATTATTATAATTTCAGATCTGAACAGAATTTTTACAAAAAATATAATATATGTAAAATGGTAACTTAAAAACAGAAGAAAAAGAAATAAACATTTTTTTCCGCTATTTTAAATGATTTGTTCAGAGACTCTTCAAAGTTGTCAGCATCATCTTAAATCCAAGCTGAAGAAGAAGTTCCAGTGTGTGTTTGAGGG